TGAGGAACGGAGGCAGCGCTGCGCCGGGCACCCTGTCCGGGAGCCGTGGGGGGCTTGCCCGCCCCTCCTCAGCCGCAGGAGCTCGCGGCCCAAGGGTGCTGCGGCTCATCTGCAGCCCTGTTGCACCACCTGTGGGACAACGGGTGTGCTGAGCTTTTTGACTTTCAAACCTCTCATTTCTTTTCTTTTCCTTTCCTTTTTGAGGAGGTAATTCTCAGTTTTCAGAGGCGATGCCCACCCGTGACTCGCCTGCTGCGATTTCGCACAGAGGACGGCCAGGTCCCCAGCGCCAGCGCCCCTGCGGAGACCTCTCCTCCTCTGGAAGGCAGCCCCCATGCCGCCACAGCCTCCTGGCGCCTGCGAGCGAGGGCAGGGCCTCGGGGGCGATCCAAGTCCTTCCTCCCGGTTCAGCCCCGATGAAAGACGGAAACCTGGCGGGGGGGGAATGCTTCCGCCTGTCCTTCCCATCTCGGCCCGCCCTTGGCCAACGGCTGCGCTCCCCATGGGGTCCGTTGGACGTGGCCACGGGGGGGGGGGCAAAACGGCTTCAAAGGGAGGTCAGGACGAGGGCCGGCAGTGGGAGTCCAGCACGGGGGCTTCTGCCGCTGCTCCCGGGTCCTGCGCGTGAAGCTGGCACGTCTGAGCGCTTGGCCCGGATGCACTTCTGGCCTTTCAGCGGCCGTCAGACGCGTTGCCAGGTTCCGCCGACGGACTGCGAGGACTGCACCCCGCGGGCGGGGTGGAAATGGCCACCTCGCTTCTCAGCCGTGGCACTCGAGGGCTCAGACGTGGGGAAGGGGCTCTGCTGAAGGTCTCTCTTGCTGCAGGGGGCCGGCGGTGGCAGCCCGCAGGCGGCAGATGCCGAGGCGCACGGAGTGCTGGACCTGCGGCCGTGGCAGCTTCCCTGCGCCCCCTGGGGAGGCTGGGGGCAGCAGGCCGAGACATCTGGAGGGCGGCAGGGCGGGGAAGCTGCCACACTCCGTAGCAACACCCAGGCGGAGGCTACGAAGGGCAGACAGGGCCTGTCCGGGCGTCCGTGAGCCAGCTCACTTTTGCACCCGGGACCTCCGAAGCAGGCGGCCCGGCCCTCAGCGGGAGCAGTGAGCAGGCAGGCAGGTTTGCAGAACGCCTCTCGGTTCTGAGCCCGTCTCCGGGCGCCCAGCGCGGGGCAGGGCCACCCGCGGGAGGAGGGGCAGTGCCGGATCGTCCCGTCTTCTGACGGCGCGCCACGCCTGGTGCCAAGTGGAAGGCCTCCTCTGCCCCACACGGACAGCCGCCCGCTGCCCCCCTCGCCTTGGCACGGGTGGCCGCAACCGTTCCAGCGGCTTGGCCTCGGTCCTTGGACGCCAAGCTCGGGCATGCCCTGAAGAGAGTCGAGAGTGGCAGTCTGGCGCTTGGCACCGGGTGCGTGGCGCTTGCTGGGAAACTGCCCTCCAGCAAATGGCCTTCGGGTGTGTCAGCAGCCCTCCGGCTCCCCTGCCCCCTGCCGAAGAGGCAGTTGTGTGGCAGCAGTGTGACAATTTTGTGGTGCGGGCGGGGGGTGGGAGGCTGCAGGACCCCCTGTGCGACACCCAACAAGGCATTGCAAAGTAACTGACTTAGCCTCTGCCGGGAGACCTCGAAGGAGTGCCTGGCCAGGCTTTCTGGGAAGCCACGTGCTAGAGAAGGTGCACCTGGGCAGGCCAGGTGGGGATGGAAACGCAGCGGGTGGCTTGGTTTTCGCATTTTGCATTGCTTGGTTTCCTTCGAAGGAGAAAAGTATCCGGTTCGAATAGGAGGACTGTCCATCTCGGCCGAAGTACGAACATGCAAATCTTCAAAAGTGCCCATTTTGGAAGGGCACAGTCTGCCCACGCGAACCAGCTGTGGGAATCCGTGGACCCTTCCGGTGACTCCGTCTTCCCGGTTGCGTTGTAGCAGCACAGTGCCATTAATTTGTATATGTTTGTTTAATTCCTGGGCTGTGCAATAGCTGAAGCTCTCAGACACATTTTATGAGTGGGTTCCGAGCATTTGTGGTCGTTGTCTCTGCGACCTTGAGAGCTTTGGGTAGGGGATGATTTATCAGTGGAAGGAATCCATGCATACTAATCCTGCTCATCAGCAAGATCAAAATGCTTTGCTGCCTTGGGCTCTCCACGGGCTCCCTCCGTGGTCACATCTGGGAGTGCCAGCCGTGGGGTGTTCGGGGCTTATCGCCTTGGACAAAGGACTGTTTCCACGGAAGAGGCCACGGCTCCACCATGCTGCTCCTCCGTGCAGGTGGCCCTTGCGTGATGCTGGGCTCCACGTCCTACCAGCATCAGGGGCGAAGGTGGCAGGACACAAGGGGCCATGTGGCCGCCAGGCTGCGGCCCCCTTGCCCTGGGAGACCGGCGGTGACTTGGTTCTACAGCAGGACCGACGGCGGTGCGCTCTGAGGCCACGTCAGGTGGCCTCTCCACATGGATCGTCTTGGTACGAATCGTGCGTTCGAAAGGAGGGCTTCCTGGCAAACACTGTGCTGGGTGCTTGCTTGCGGTCCGGAGGTTGAGCCCCAAGGCCTCCCCAATCTTGGTGGCCTTCCCAGGGGCCCGGGATTCCTGACGGCCCGCACTGTGACGGAGCCACGCTGCCACTCTCCGAGAAACCAGGAGCGGAGTCCCAGGAGCACCCGGCCCGCTGCTCCCCCTGGACCAGGGACTCCCTGGGCCTGGCCTGGTAAGACCCCTCTGCATCCTGGGCACCCCACCCTGGCCGAGACAAATGCCGGCCATGACAAGGAAAAGGAGACCAGCAGCAGTGCAAAAGCAGGAGGTCCCTGCTGCCAGGCGCAAGCACGGGGAAGGCGCTCCGACAGCTGGAATGCAAGATGTGCTTGGACTTGTCAGCCCGGACAGCCATTCCGCCGGTCCCAAGCAACTATTTCCTTCGGGAGCTTGTGTTGTGATTGTGTGCGTGTGTGTCTGTGTGCGTGTATGGGTGAGCGTATTCTTCTGATGCCTCTAACAGGATACAGTTGATTTCTTTTTCTATACTTCCTCACTATAATAACGACAGATAAACCCCGAAAATGTTGGGCCTGGAGCAAGAGAGAGGCTGTCCCAGGGCAAAGGAAGCCCCCCTGCTCCTGGCCAGCTTCCCGGCGTGGCCACCGGGCTGACACGCAGTGGCCCCTCTCCGAAGTGTCCTTCGCACTCGGTTCCCCTCTACGGCGGGTAAGTCAGGGGCCAAGCGGCCCCACCTGGAGGCCCGGGTTTGCGCAAGGGCACCTGCCGCCGAGCCCCTCGCCTGGGCGTCTGCGCGTTTCTGCTCCGCGTGCTCAGGGCTTGCAACATCCCCCCCCCCGCCCCCGGTGCTCCGGCAGCCTTCCCCTTCCCACCCACTCAGAGCTCCAAGGGGTGGGAAGCCGACCCCAGACCTGCAGAGCCGAAAGCGCAGCCACGGCAAGGGGGGAGTGCGGGGGGCGGGGGGGCGCCCGGAGCCAAAGGATTTCTCCGGACTCGGTGTCAAGGATTCTCCCGCAGGAGGCCCTGTGGCGGAGGAGGCCGAGGTGAGGGCCAGGCACAATTGGGAGGGCCACAGGCCCACCAAAGGGCCGCCCCGCTTGTGCATCCTGGAAGAGGCGCCCTGGCCTTCCAGCGAGGGCTGCCCAGCGAGAAGCCGGCCCGATGGGGCAATCGTGCAGGGGAAGGGGCTGGGCTTCCCGGGCTTGTAGATTCCCCCCCCCCCCCCGGGGCAGCCCTTCCCATCCATCCTCCCGCGCCTCGCTCCATGATGCTTCTACCCGGAGCTGGCACAAGGCATCATGCAAGGAAGCGCCAGAGAAACGCATCTGCCCGTGATGACCTGCCTGGTCCGTAAGCTGATCCGACGGGAACCGCCTGGGCCTTCTGCCTCACCGCCCCCCCTCGCCCCCAGCTCAGGCAGGGCCTCCCTTGCATGCCAAAATCCCCGCCCGTCTCGAGGGCCCAGTGCTCAGTGCAGGCGGCTGGACCGTCTCCGCATGGGCAGGAAGCCTCCAGAAGGATCATCGTGCTCCTACCGTTAGTGGCCACTCCCCCTCCCAGGGCTGCAAGGGGTCCTGGGAGTGCGGGGGGGACAACTGGGAGAGGATGGCGCTTCCCCCTCCCCCACCCAGCTTTCCATGATGCAGGCCAGGTCGGCCCCCTGATCCACGGCCAAATCATGGGTGGCGGAGCTTTTATTCTGGGCCGACCTGGGATGTAAGGGCTGCAGCACCAGGCCTGAGGGCAGGATAATACAATTGCCAAGACGCCCCCGTCAGGGGGAAGAACCGGCAGCGGGGACAGCAGTGAAACATCCAGCCCCCCTTCTCCTCTTTGGGTTGGTTCATCACCCAGCGTCCAATCTCCCCCTACCCATGACCACGCCAGTGGTGGCGCCCCCTTGCTCCCCCGGGCCTCTCACTGCCATCTAAATCCAATTTAAAACAGTAAAAGACTTGGTACAGTGGAGTAAACAGGGTAACTGAAAGCTGCTTTTCTGGGGGGCACCTCACAACCCCCAGAACCCACAATGTCTTTGGCGTGAGCAGCAACCGCCATTTGAGCAGCTGCTCTGGTCCGCAAATGGGGGCCGCTACCAGGCGGCGGGGGGCTGTCTTCTTGGTGGGTGCCCCACAGCCGAGCACCTGCCAGGAAAGCAGACCCCCCACACACCTTTGCACAAGCGGCTTCTCCCTTCCATGCCAGCCGCAGCCGCCTTTGGGGGCTGCCCCATGGAAAAGGTTTCCGGTTGCGCCAGCCGGGCTCGGCGAGCCCCTGCGACTTCCCCTCGGCTCAGCACCCTTTGGGAGATGAGGCCCAGCCCAAGAGAAAGCCCAGGGCTGCCCGGAGGGACGGATCCTGGCACGGCCCGCCCCATCCCTCCCATCGAATCCTCAGCAATCGGTGGCCCTGAGACATGGAGACTCCATGTGGGGGCCACACGCGGAGGAGGTTGCCATCAGCGCAGCCGGCCTCCAGAAACACGCAGGGGCGCCGGCGAGTCCGCCTTACTTGTCCAGCGATCTCTCCGGAAAGGCGAAGGGGCCCTGCGAGATGCGCTTGATGGAGCCGAGGGGCACGCGCTGCAGCTGCAGGCACTTCAGCATGATGAAGTCGTACTTGCAGATCAGGAGCGCGGAGTCTGTGATGACCAGGACCCGCTCCTTCTCGTTGTTCCAGTGGTCAATCCTGCAGTGGGGCAGGGAGAGGGCGGTGAGCAGGGGCCGCCCAGGCCTCACCAGGGCGGGACTCTGCCTCGCTTGGTGCTGCGAAACAACTCACCAAACTCCCAGATTTTGTCCACGTTGGCATGGAAGGAATTTGCAACTGGGAAAAGGTTAAATGTGGGGGAAATGAAAAGTGGGAGGATTATGCAATGGGTCCAAGGGATTTGAATGTTTAGTTCTTGAAGTTCTGGGCTTGCGGAACTGTGCATTCGATTACTTTTCTTAGGCTTCTCTCAGCTGCTACTAAATGAGAGTCGACAATGCTGGGTTGCCTGGCCAAGGGTCGGGCTCGGTATAATCCTGTCTTTTCAGCAGTCTTTCTCAAACCCCTTTTAGGCTGATGCATGGGGAGCGTGCCTCCATTCCGAGCAATCGGCCCTCCCAGCCACTTCCACCCACCCCTGCTAGATTACCGCTTTGAAAAATCCCACCGAACTACCAATCCGGCCGGCTCGCATATGTATAATGCGTTATGGTTTTTATTATGTTCTATCGTGTTTTTATCTTGTATTGTGAGCTGCCCAGAGGTGCTGTGGAGCAACTGGGTGGCATACAAATGGTTTAAATAAATTTTAAAAATCCGCTATGAAGCGAAGGACAAAGGAAGAGTCTGGCCGGATTTGGGCACAGGTCTGCCTAGCCCGCATCGCCGCTCCCTCACTGAGCTGGGGCATTCGGTGACTGAAGCATGTGCTCCACCGAGTAAGACTCCTTTAAAAACGCACAAAGAGCCCCGAGGCCGGATCGCGCCCTCTGGCCCAGCTGCACCCCATCCGCGACCCATGGAGACCTGCAAACAGACAGGGGTGCAACAGGGTCCTTCTACCCATGATCCCCAGCGACTGGGGGATTGCAGGTCTCCTGCCCCTGGTTCTGAAGGGAGCCTAGAGTCATGAGGACATGGACAGCCTTCTCTTCCAGGGGTTTGTCCACAGCGGCCCCCAAGAACCACCGTCCAGGCATCCGAGGCCAGTTGTGGATTCCATCATTCAACTTGGGGCAGAGCGAGGAAGCACGCCCTTCCACCCGTCCTGAATTTCCCACTATCCCGTTAAATCGGATCTCCATGCATTTGCTTGGATCAGCAAGGGACAAAAGCGGCTCCTTACGCACTTGCGCCACACCAGACATAGTTGCACAAACCCTCGGTCATCTCTCCCTGGTCAAGTCCTTTTTCCGAACGAAGGGAGGGCCAAACACCATAAGCGAGTTCTTCACAGGAAACTCGGTTCGGCCCCTCCGTCGTCCTGCCTGCCCTTTTCTGCTGCCCTCTTTCCAGTTCCACTTTTGAGATGTGGTAGCAGAACCGGACACATCATTCCACTGCACTTCCGATTTGGGAAAAGGCACTGTGGTCTGGATCCGGTTCCTCACAAACTCTGACCCAGAATTTACCATTTTCCAGTGCCCTTGCTCAAGGTTGGTGCTTTCTTCAAGCCACCCACCGTGACCCCAAGATTTGTTTCTCGATCAGGCATGATTAGTTTGAAGCCAATCTGTTTAGTATGAAATTTCCTCTTGTTGTTCCAAGTTACATGCTTAGTAGAAACGGATATTTGTTAGGAATTTTGGATTCACATTTCCTAGTCATCTGTTTGGTTTATCCCAAACTCTGAGGATAGTTTAAAGACTGGTTCACATTAATTCTCTGTGCTTGAGCTGTTTTTATGTTTATGTGATAATTCATCAACCTTTTTATACACTTATCCCCAAAATGCTCTTTTGGCCTTGCCAAACGGAATGCATTTCGGAAAGCTGTGTCCAGGGAGGCTGCCGACTCCTGAGCAGGGAGGCGGGGAGCTTCCTTTGCAGCGATCAGCCATTTCCCCCCATGGTCCTTTGAGCTTCGCGGGAGCTTTCCAAGGTGCTGAATGCCCTTCCCGGGGAGCTTCACCACCATGGAGCATCGCGGACAGCTCCCAGGAAGCTCAGCATAAAAGCTTCAGTGGCTGGAGAGCCCTTCCTCCCCTGGTTATTTTCCCTAAAGGAAGCTCAGCCATGAGATGGATCGATTCCACCAAGGAAGCCCTGCGTTTACTGGAGGAGAGCAGGCCTGTGACGAGCAAGGCTTTTTGGCGGGCCTTGTTCCATAAGGCCGCAAAAGGTTGCCGGTGATCTGGTGGCATGTCGCAGCCACAGCAAATAAGGGATCTGATCGAAGAATCCGCCACAGGACTTGGAGGAGCGCTGACTCTGAAAAGCCGAGTTTTGTTTGGAAATGCAAAACTGGATAAATTTGGAGATTGAGCAGATTGCTCCCCCATTCCTGATGTTCTTGAGGCTGTTGGTTTTGCTTAATTTAGCAACCCTTCAGACCCCAGGATAGTCAGGACAACCGCTCAGCCTGCACTGAAAAAATGTGCATGAGCGTAAGGTGTGTTTGCTCGTGTTCACCCCCGGTCTTCCTCGTCTCTTCCCTCCCACGGAAATTTGGGTTGTAACTTCCTCAGTGTAGGAACTTCCCCTTTGCTTATTTATTTATTTATTTATTTTCCGATTTATATCCTGCCTTTTTCCTACAAAGGGCTCAAGGCAGCTCACATCATTCTCCTCCTCCATCTCATCCCCACAACAACAACCCTGTGAGGTAGGCTGGGCCGAGAGTCTGGGCCTGGCCCAAAGCCGCCCAGTTGGCTCCATGGCTGAGCGGGGACCCAAACCCGGATCCTCTGAGTCCCAGTCCCATGCCCTTAACCACTGCACCATGCTGCCTCTCTAAGAAGGTGGGCTTATATCGCTCGGCAAAGTGCTGCGCATGCTGATGGCATGTATTAATTATTGTTTTGGTTAATAAAGACGGAATAGCTAAAATATTCCCTTCTTTATTTTTCTACAGAACTTGGATCTCCAAGAACCCAAGTTCTTTATTATTTCTGCCTCATGGTAAGAGTTCAGCAGCTGGAAACACAATTCCGGGTGCTCGGCATGCATGCAAAACGCCGCACGCCCCCCCCAGCCTCCACTTCCGCGGTGGAGTTCCCTGTGCAACCACCAGATGGCAGGAGAGAGAAAGAGAACTCAAACCTGCAAGAAATCCTGGATTGGGTTTTACACCCTGCACCAGCCACCCTTTCTTTATCTCAGTAGATGTGACTGTTTGAGGTTTTAAATTTATATAATAGCTTCCAGAGAAACAAGAGCTACGATCGTGTTCCCTCCGACCATTTCCTACAGAAGGGTAACGGCTAAAGTTTAATAAAACCAGAGAAATGTCTCAATCGCAGGAGATCGAGCTTTGCAGGTACCATGAAAAGATCACAGAATTGGAAGGACTTGTATTATTTATATTGCACCGTCAGTTTACATGCTCTCTGCATAGTAACAGATGCGAGAGCAGCAGCATCCCCGAGGGAATGAAGATCTAAATTTAGAGAGTGCAGAGGAGGGGAAGAGGAGGGACAGAATGCAGCAAAGCACCGTGTCCTTCCAGGCATTTGCGGGGCCCTGGCGGGTCGTGGCCTTTTCTTCTACTGGCCTGAGCCCCAAGGAGCCTGCAAGCCGAATTTCGGTGCATGCGTGCCTGATGCGCGTGTGAATGTATTTGTCCGCGTACAGAGAGTGGATGGGGCTTCTTTAACGGGGGACTGATTTAGAGCGCTGCCCCAGCGTTCTCCACCCTGGCCCGTTCGTTCATAGGCTCATCGAAGAGTAGAGCTGGAAGGGGCCATGAAGGCCATCCAGTCCACCCCCTCCTGTTGCAGGAGACCAGTTTACTCCATCACACTTAGAGGGCTGCCCAGTTTCTCCTCTAGTGTGGGGGAGCCCCCCACCTCTCCGGGCAGCTGGTCCCACGGTCCTGCTGCTCTGACAGGGAGGAAGCTCGTCCTGATGTCCAGCTTGAACCTGGGTTGCCGCAGCTTGGCTTGGTGATCCCGTGTCCTGCACTCCGGCATCAGCCAGAAGAGACCTTGGCCCCCTCTCTGGGTCAGCCTTTCAGGGACTTACAAATAGATACCACACTGTGCAGCCCTTTCTAACTCCAGCCCTACTTATTTCTGAAAGCCCATGGATGAATCAGATGAGGGCGGTGCAGGGAGTCGTTCCCGGGGTGGGGATCCGTCGGCTTCCTCAGGCTCAGCTCCCAGGACCCCGGCCCATGTGCCACAGCCCTGAGGCCGGGTTCCTGGCAAGCCTGCCCAGGGCTCGTGGGGCACTCGCTGGGAATCGGGCCCCGTGCGCTGTGTGAGCAGGGCCCCCTTCCACACCACAAGCAGCGGCCGCTTCCGCCGCTGCTCCTGATGAGGAAGACAGTCGCTCGCCGTGCAACCTTCGCTCCGCGAGCATCTGTGGGCTTCCTCCTGGCTTGGGTCGCTTCCCAGGACCTGGTTGCGCACGAGGGAAATCTGGGAAGACGAGGGGGG